AGTCAGTCCAGAATCCAAAGTGGGAAAGAGACTCTGCCTCTTAATGGGAGGAAGGCAAAGTCACAGGAAAAAAAAAGGAACATGATCTCAGGGAGACATGATTCATTGAGGGGCCATTTTTGTACCAGTCTAACACACACCCATCCTACCTTCAGGGTTACTTACAAACAGGTGAGCTAATATAACCAAGTCGTTTTGTAAGTAGTGAAATGCCACGCCATATGAACACAAGACTGCTCCATTTTGTTCTAATATTTGTATTCACATTATTTAACTGAAATCAAGATGATCTAAGTTAAAGTTTCAGATTTCAATTCTTTTTGAGTTAAGCAGAGTCTATGAGAATGAGTCCCAGACAGGTGATAGAATTAGAATATCCTCATTTTGCAATCCAGAATGCACTGATAGAGCTGGGCTCTAAGCATCAATGACTGCCAACATCACAAACACCAAGACCAGAGAGATTATGTGCCTACCGAGGAGGAACACAACACCACCTCTGAAGTTGTCTCATCAAAATTCAAAGAAACAAATTAAACTTCAATTTGATCAAGCCTCTAGTTACAACTACCAATCTTTAGGAACTGCAGAAGACAGAGGAACATGTTAAACTGTATGTGTTAAACAGAGGTACAATTAACAAAATCTAAACTGGGAGACATTATAGTAAAACAGCCTGTTTTTTTTTTTTTTGAAAAATAGATTGGGAAAAAAGAGATGAAGAAGAAACACACACATTAAGAAAGACCAATTACAATGTGTGAAACTTATTTAGATCCTGATTCAAATAAACTATTTAAAAATTATGACTTTATAAGACTACTGGAAATTTCTAAGTAGACCAGACAATTGATGATATTAAGGGATTATTGCTAATTTTGGATGTGAACTGGTATTATGATTATATACTTTTAAAATACTTCTCATCTTTTGGAGTACATACTTACCTGTTAAATTATCTTATAGCTGAGAATCATTAATATGGAATAGAAGTAAGTAGATCGGGATATAGATGAAGAAAGTATGTCTGTGAGTTGATAACTATTAAAGCTGAATGATGAGTACATGAGGATTCATTATATAATTCTGGCTACTTTAGTATGTATTTGAAATGCTTCACAATAAGTATGTTATTATTTTTCAAAAAAAGAGTGAAATATCAAACTAGACAAAGATATTACAAGAAAAGAAAACTATAGACCCATATCTTTCAGGAACATAGATGCAAAAATCTTCAATAAAATATTAGCAAATGGAATCCAAAAATTAAAAAAAAAGAATTATATGCTATGACCAAGTAAGATTTAACCTTGGAATGCAAAGTTAATTCAAAATTCAAATATCAATTAATGTCATCCACCATATCCATACACCAAAAGAGAAAAATTACATGATCAAGTCAATAGATGCATAAAAATACCAATACCCATTCATGACAAAAATTCTTGGTATAGTAGTAATAGAGGAGAACCTCTTCAACTTGATAAAAGGTATTTACAAAAAAACCTACAGCCAATCTTATATTTAATGGTGAGAAATGAGAAATTTTCCTACTAAGACCATGAGCAAGGCAAGGATGTCCCTTTCCACCATGCCTTTTAACATCATTCTGGAAGTCTTAGCTAATGCAATAAAACAAGAGAATAAAATAAAAGGTAGACAGATCAGGAAGGAAGAAATAAAAGTATTTTTGTTCACAGACAACATAATTGTCTATGCAGAAAATCTAGAAGAATTGACCAAAAAACCTGGAACTAATAAGTAATTGTAGTAAGTTTGCAAAATATAAGATTAATATGCAAAAGTTAATCACTCTCCTATACAACAGCAATGAACAAGTGGAATTGAATTTAAAACCACAATACCATTTACATTAGTACCCCCCAAAATGAGATCCTTAGGTATAAATCTAATAAAATCTATAAAATATCCATATGAGGAAAACTACAAAACTAATGAAAAAGACTCAAAGACTTGTCAAGATATCAGTTATTCCCAACTTGATCTGTAGATTCAATGCAATCCCAATCCAAACCCCAGCAAGTTATTTTGTGGATATTGATGAACTGATTCTAAAGCTTATGTGGAAAAGGAAAAGACACAGAATGCCAGCACAATATTGAAGGAGAAGAACAAAGTTGAAAGCCTTAACTTGAGACTTACTTTAAAGTGACAATACTCAAGACAGTATGGTATTAGCAAAACCATAGAGATGATAAAAAGGACAGGAGTTGAGGGCTGTGGAGGGATGAATAGATGAAGCTCAGAGGAATTTTAGGGCAGTGAAACTACTCTGCATGATACTATAATGGTGGATACATGTCATTAGACATTTGTCCAAACCCATAAAATGTACCACACCTAGAGTGAACCCTAATGCAAACAACAGACTTTGGGTGATTAGGATGTGTCCATGTAGGGTCATCAATGGTAACAAATTTACCACTGCGATGAGAGATGTTCATTTAGGGGTGGCTATGCAAGTGTGGGGGCAGGGAGCACATGGGAAATCTCTGTACCTTTCTCTCGACTCTGCTGTGAACCTAAAATTACTCTAAAAAATTAAGTCTTAGGGGGGAAAAAAAAGAGTTGGACAAGGAGTCAGACAGCCTTGGGTTCAAGTAGCAGCTCCTCTATCTCTTCTCCTTAGGTTCAGATTCCAGGAAATTCACTTTACTTTTCTGAACCTCCATTCCCTTTGCCAATACCTGCCCCTACCCCTACATACTCATCATTTTCTAATGATGCTGTGGGGCCCAGATGAGCTCATAAATGCAAAAGCATTCTATGCACCACGAAGGGCTACATACCTGTGAGGAACTGCTTTGTTACTACCACTGTTGATCTTGACAATAATTTAGATCCTTTGGCCCCTGTGGTCCCTTTATAACAGCATCTCTTCACACTTAATCTGCCCCCATGAGAAATTAAGCACAATGTGCTCACAACGCTCTTTGGGCAGTGGCTATGAGTTTGACCAAAGGTCTGAAGATTATTTTTAAAATCTCATCTTTTGTCTATATCTTTAATACAAACAGGGAAAACATCTGCTTCTGGTCAAGATGTGGTAACAGGGACTGGATTTACCCTCCTGATGTACACCTCCAAAAACCAGACTATAAATATTAAACAATGGCATTTAAGGCACTGAGCATTAGGTGGAAAAAGATGGTATTCACTGACATTCAAGGAACAAGCAAGTTGAGTCCTATGATTGCCCTGGTTTACTCACTTGAGCGAGTTTCCAGACAAGAAAAAGAAATAAAAGACACCAAGATTGGTAAGGAAGAGTTAAACTGACTTTATTCACAAATGATATGATCATCTATATACAAAATCCAATAAATTCTGCAAAAAATAAGCTACCAGGAGTAAGTAAGTTTAGCAAGGCTGTAGGATACAAGATCAATAATACAAAGATTGACTGTATCTCTATGTACTAGCAAAGGAAAATCAGAAATTATTTTTTTTAATTATTTCCAATAGCATCAAAATATTGAATATTTAGGATAATGTGAAATACCTCTGCATTGAAAACTACAAAACATTGCTGAGAGGTGTTAAAGAAGACCTAAATAGATGGAGAATTTACCATAATTATACATTAGATGACTCAATATTGTTAAGAGTCAATTCTTCCCAAATTTTGATGTATAGATTCAATGTAATGTCAATCAAAGTCCCAGCAGAAATTTTTAAATCAATTGGCAAACTGATTATAAAATTCATATGGAAATGCAAAGGATCTAGATTAGCCAAAACAACTTTTAAAAAGAAGAGTAAAGTTGGACAACTTCCACTGATTGCGATTCCTATAAATCCAAATTAAGCAAAACAGTAGTATTGCCACAAAGATAGACAGTGTGACGGTGTGTGTGTGTGTGTGTGTGTGTGTGTGTGTGTGTGATTGTCAACAAAAGTTCAAAGGCTCTTCAGGTAAGAACATTAATATTTTCAACAAATGGTACTGAAAAAAAATTAGATATGGATCTGCAAAAAAAAAAAAACAAACTTCAATCCATACTTTGCACCATTTAAAACAATTAGCTCAAAATGGATCATAGACACAAAGGTAAAATCTAAACCTATGAAATTTCTAAAAGAAAACCTTTGTGAACTTAGGTCAGGAAGAGTTCTTAGATCCAACACCGCAAGAGTAATCTCTAGAAGAACGTAGTAGGCTGCTCACTGTAGAAGTCGCTCTGCTGGTGAAGTAATTACCAGGTGGTCACTTGGGCCCTGGAGAAAAAGTAAAGACTAATGAAAATTCCTATGTAAAATCTTTACAGCTCTCTGAAGTAAACTAGATTCATGTGGGTTTTCTGTTATTCCACAGAGCCGGAAAAGCTATATTTGAAAAAGCAGTTCCCTTTTAGTTCCTTTTTTTTTTTATGCCTAAATCCAGAACTTGGGCAGGGGGGGGGGCTGTTTCTTTTTTAAACATTTACCACCAACAAACCACTCCCCTTATTAGAGTTCTTTCTCTGCCTTTTGAGAATTGAGGAACTATTGTTCAGGCTTTGAAAATTTCCTCTTACCTCCAATATCTCTGCCCCACTATTTTTGCATAACCAGCAATTCAACCACAGACAAGACACTGAGTCTGTGTAGGTGTCAGTTTATTTTTTCAGAGCCCTTTCCAGCTCTAGTACTCTCTTAATCTCTGATTCCCAGGAAGAATGATTTTTAAAAGACAAGAATACAAATAAGAACTAATATTATAATTAACCAAGTAAATGTATAGTTCTGTTGTACACACACACACACACACACACACACACACACCAGATTTTTTTCTTTCATTCCCAGGTTTTTCCAAGAATAAGTATGACTATTATTATTGCCCAAATCAATAATTCAGTTAAACACAAGCCACAGTATAATAAAACCACACTGGACTTAGGAGGGCAGATTCTGGGGTGTCTGTTAAATAGCCAATCACATTTACACTTGGCTCATGCCTTAATGCATTCATTAAATAAATATTTTTTAAGCACAGATTCCCCAGCTACTCTGCTAGATACTAATGGTGCAGTTCTCACATTCTAGCAGAGATACCTACAAGATTCTTCTCACTGCAGTGCCTTTGCACATGTATCCCTCCTGCCTGGGCAGTCTTCTCCTCTCTTCATCTGGTCAGCTCTTGCTCTTCATTCAAAGACTCTAAATGCAACTTCCTCAGAGAGGGGTACTCTGACCCTGAAATGAATTAAGTTCTCTTGTTGTTTATTTCCTCATATACCTCTATTCTTTTCCTTTCTAGCCCTTGGCATAATCATGTCTATTTTGTGGATCATTGCATTCTCAATACACTGGCGCACTCATAGAAAAGAGTCAATGTTTAATCAATATTTGTAGACTAAATGAATAAACAAATGAATAGATAAAATGCTCAAAAGGAATCTCGGGGAGCCCAGGAAGACTTACTGTATAAGAAGTATCAGACCTAAAGAATGATAAGGACTTAGGAAGGTGAAGAACAAAGAAAATAGGCAGCAGATGTTCATTCCTCACCTAAGTCCATGATCTCTCATCTGAGAAATATTTTTCAGGCTGAGTTATTATACTACAAAGTCAGTTACATCATTATCACTTAAGGTCTCCAAAATGCCATGGGCTCCCTACTGAAAAATAGCCAAGTTCTTCAGCATGGCACTGCCCCTCCACCAAATGGTCTGGCTTTCAACCACCTGTCTGTATTTGTATCTCACTAAACCTGCTCACTGGCTTCATAATGCAATCATGATTATTTCCTTCCCACTGGCCGGACACATCCTAAGCTTTTCTATTTCCATGCAGTACCCGTTAGTCCATTCTCCCTCTATTGAGGTTGTCCTCATCTGACACAAAGGTAATGTAACGCCATGTCTCTGTGGAAGTTTCCCTGTAAGCCCCCTGTCCCCCTTGTGATGAATCTCTCCTCTCTTTCTGCTTCTATGCACATGCTTACACTTCTCTTTTGTGCACACCTGATTCTGCTTAATATCATGGTTTATATTCCTACATGTCTCTCAGAAGCATGTGAGCTCCTCCAGGTCAGAAGCAGCTCCTGACATAGAATAAGCACTCAATAAATGTTTGCTGGATGGAATGCACCTGACACATCTGCACAGGAGACCCACTTCTGTCATCCCTGGCTTTCCCTGGGGTACTCCTAGGAGAGCCTTAAGATGCTGTCCTCTTGAAAACCAGACTGCAGCCTTCACTCCAACTCCAATACTCCAATTTACTTATTCATCAAACATTTATTAAATATCTATCATATTTTAGATACTCTTGTAAGCACCAGGGATGCAGAAAAATAAATCTCTGGCCCTGTGGCACTTATATTTAAATGAGTGGGAGACAAATAATAAAACTAGTATAATACAAAATACATCAAATGGTAGAAAATACTACAGGGAAATAGAAAGCATAAAAGGGGATGAAGAATACATTGAGGGGGGGGCTGACGTGGTATGTTAAGGAGTGTTCCTCCAAGACCTCTAATGGAAGGGGACCTGGGCACAGACTCAAGGCAGTAAGAGAGTAAGCAGACAGACACCTGGGTGTGAGCCATTCAGACAGTCGGAACATCCAGCTCCAAGGCCCGGAGGCGGCAGCAGTGTCAATGATCCAAGTTAGAGAAAACCATGGTCAGCCACAGTGCAATGGCTTCAGTGTTTGTGTCCCCCAACCAAATTCCTATGCTGAAATCCTAACCCCCTATGCGATTATATTAGTAGGCAGGGCCTTTGGGAGGTGATTAGGTCATAGGATGGAGCCCCATGAATGAGATTAGAACCCTGAAATAAGGGACTCCAGAGAGCTCTCCCAGTCCGTGTGAGGATACAAGAAGTTGGCTGTCTACAGCCTGGGAGAGAATCCCCACCAGAACCATGCTGCCATCCTGATCTTGGACTTCCAGCCTCCAGAACTCTGAGCCATTTCTGTTGTTTCTAAGCCTCCCCATCTCAGATACTTTGTTACAGCAGCCTGAACTGACTTAAGACACCAGGGTGGACTGGTGGCTGCTGTGGGATAAGAGGTGGGCAGATTCCAGATATATTTTGAAAAGCACTTGCTGACAGATTAAACGTGGCATTTAAGGGAAGGGGAGGACACAGAGAGGCAATAAGCGCTGTGGTCTGAACAGCTAGATGACAGGGGTTATTGTTTATTTTGGTGGGAAGCCTGGGAAGGCACAAGGGGCTTCAGGAGTTTAGTGTGGAAGGTAAGGCATGAGGCTCTTTTGTCATCCAGGTGAGATGCCACATTGGCAATTAGGAAGAAGAGTCTGGAGTTCACAGAAGAGGTCCAGGGCTAGACACATAAATTTGGGACTTGTCAACATAACAGTAGCATTTTAACCCAGGGGGCTGGATGACAACATCAAGTGGTGGGCAGAGATAGAGGAGATGGGCCTGGGCTGGATGCAGGTGCACTCTGATATGAAGAGGGCAGAGGGTTATGAGGATCCAGCACAGACAAGGGCAGCCGGCGAGCTGGGAGGAAGACCAGGGGAGTGTGGTGTGTGGCCATGTCCACTATGAAAGGACCAACTGTGTCAACGGCTGGGCCAAATAAAGTGTGGGCAGACAATTGACCACCAGATTTAACCATGTAGAAATTGGTGACCTGAACAAGAAAAGTTTTTGTAAATAATGGAGTGAAAGCCTTATTGGGAGGAAAGTTCTAGAAAGAATGGGAGGAGTGGAATCGGTGACAAAGTATAGACGGGGCTGCCATTTGTCTGGGTCACCAGCCAGCACTTATAACCCACAGTCCAGTGTTCTGTCCAGTTACAGTTTCCTGGTCTGGATTATAAATTATATGATAATTCTAAGTATAGATAGCTCTCTCTAGGTATCTATTAACACACTCACTCTTTCATCCACGTAATGGTACACTCTGCCCTTTCTAGCTTTCCTGGTGTAAGTAAGTGTCAGATCTTGCCCAGTCCAGAGAACAAAGGCCTAGGGGACTCTCCCTTGGATGATCGTTCTCAACCAGGGCTGCACAAAGAGATTCACCTGGGAACCGGGGTCTTGCCCTCAGTGATCTTGATTCCATTGCTCTGAGGTACAGTCTGGGCCTGATTTTCCTCTAGGAGATTTTCATGTTCAGCCAGGGATGGGGGCCACTACCCTGATTAATGAAAAAGTACAGGTCCATCTGATAGAGGTTATTGTACGCTCCACTTTAGCAATCTCTCCAGAATGTTCCTCCCTGTCCATCCCCATCATCAATGTTCTGGTTCATACCGCCATTTTTTCTACCTTGGACTGTTGAAATTACTCTCCAAATGGTTTTTCTGCCTCTGGGCTGACCTTGTCCAGTCCATTTTATCTCATGTTACCAACTAATTCCTGTCAACTGACTCTGTCTTTTCTTTACAAACTTCTATTGTGGCCTTCTTTACTTCAGGTTGAAATTCAAATTCTTTAAAATGTCAAAGTCACTTTAGTACTCAAGAGTTGTTTTGTGAGTGAGTGAATGAATGAATGAATAAGTGGTCTCAGACCACTGGGGTAGACAGACACAGAAACAGAAAATGAGTGACAGAACCAAGCAATGTGGGCCCGAATGGGTGGCTTTGGAGTTCTGATAGGCTTTAAAGTCTCATCAGAACTGTAAAGATTTCCAAATCTATGCATCCAAGGAAATTCCCACTTGTCACATATGTCCTCGAACACATTTTGCTCATGAAGCGCTCACCTGGACGTGAGTTGGGGTAAAGAGAAGAGGGGGAAAATCAAGAGGTGAGCTCCCTCATCTCTCACTCTCACCATCACCCCATCTTTGCCTGTACCCTCAGAAATGGCTCTTGTTCCTCAAACAAGTCATGCTCCCTCACCACCAGGGTTCTGCACATATTATTTCCTCCCCACAGATTACTCTTCCTCTCCCTTCTTCAACTAGCTAGTTTCTGTTCATCCCTTAGATCTTGGCTATGTGATAGATTCCTTTGACAAGACATCCCTGACGCTTGTCACCTCCATCCCCACCACCCCACGATGCCTGGATCAAGGGTCTTTTCTGCAGCAACCCCATACCTCTCTATGCTTTTCTCATGACAGCCTTCATCACACTAGATGGTGAGTGCCACTTTTCATGTTCATGTTCCCAGGACCATATCTGTCTGTGTCAAGGCTCAATAATTCTTTATTGAATGAGCTATAATGTGAATTCAGTCTAAAGGGTTATGGAAATACCTTTAAAAAGAACTGAAAGTCCATAGGTGCAGAACTCTCCTTTGAAATGTGATGGCCCCAAGGATGTCACACGTAAGCCCCACTTTGCTTCACCCCACCCCACTGGTGGACATGTTCTCCACACTGGCCCTGGTGCCGGAGACTTGTGATTCATGCTGAAAGCACATCTGAAACCCTCATCTTTATAGCTCTTTTCTGAGAAAATTACCCAATCTGGCAGTCCTTCTGGCCCCAAGACTACTTGACAGATCAAAATGACCCAGGCCAAATGGAAGGGGGGAATGAACTCCACCATTAAATGGGCCAACACCTGAAAAATGTTGGCTTTGGAATAATGCAGGTCCTCTCTTGTGCATTGCCTAGAATCAGAGGAAGGTGTTCTTTGCCAGGGCAAGGCAGTGAGGTCTCTGAGTTCCTGGCTGAGGCCCCCAAGCGAGCTCTGTCTCCACAGCAGAGCTCCCTGCCAGGTGGAGTGTCACAGCTGTGGAATCAGAGAAGTTGTGCAAGAGGAGGAAGAAGTTTTCCAACTCAGCAAAAGAACAGGTCTTGGAGAATGAGCTCAGGGAGAGTGTGAGTCCCAAACAAGGGCCAAGAATCATGACTTAAAGTACACGTGGCAAGAACTGAGGATCTTAGTAACTAGAAGAACTAGAATTGAATGAGCAGAAGGTTAGGGCAAAGAATCAGTGTAGTCAGGGACACAGAGGGAATTCCAGGGCTTTCTTACACCTGGTATTTGTTGCAAAGTTTTCTACAGAGTCAAATTGTGTATTAATTTATTCACCAAGCAATTATGCAGCTTTTGTACTTAATATAACTCTCTTGCTCTACACAAACAACCCTAGGTTCTCTTATTACTCCCATTTTAGAAATGAGGAAATTATATCTCAAAGAGGACCACTGTGGTCAAGGCAGGCTTTATGCCCGGTATCTGTCATATCCAAGCCCCTGCTCTGGACTTGAATCCTCTCTTAATCACCTCACAGGCTGGGCAACCCTGAGCATCCACTCTCTTGTTCCTCACCTGTAAAATGAGGATGTTGTAACCAGTGAGATACTCTACATGAAATGACCTTATCAACCACAAAGCACTGTGCAAATTTTAGCTCCATGTGTTTGTTTCTTTGCCTGCTTGCTTGTTTATACCCCATTTTGTACCACAATGAGGCCTATGTGAGACCACACAGAACAGAACAACACTGTAGGATAATTTGAATAACAGTGCAGATGGAAACGCAGAGTGAATAACATTTTCTGCTTGACAAATCTTCATGGAGAGAGACTCTGCGTGCACAAACAAAACCTAGTAACTCCCATCCCACATGCATGCAGTCATCCATTCAACAAACCCTGGCTAAGCTCCTGCATTGGGCCAGACCTGAGTGCGATATATAAATGATGAATAAAACACACTGGCTGCCCTCAAGGATCTCAGAGTCTGCAAGAGAAGACAGGGTAACAATCAGGCCATTTTAGTAGTGTGTTCAGCACCACAGGAAAGAAAATCACTGCAAGTTGCAAGTTTGGGGACTGTGACAAAAGGACACCTAAGAAAGTGCTGCTGGAATTTCTGAGCTATTTCCTGAAAAACGATTGGTTTACAAGGCCAAAGCTGGCAGTGAAAGAGGAGCAGGATATTCACACCCAGGGTGAGAGGGTATGTGAGTTGGCAGAGCTGTGGAACTGCAAATACTTGGCCTGGCTGAAGGTTGAAGTTGGGGAGCTGGGTAGGACGTATGTGATAAAGTTAGCAGAGCTCAAATAACCCCTATTTATGCTCACAGATGTCCCCATTCCAGAACATGGTGAAACACGGTGAGGTCTTCTAGAGTCTTCAAGAACCTGCTGCCTCGCTCAGATCTTTCGGCTGCTCTAAGTGCTTTTATGAGTACAGCAGCCTCGGCATCCTCTTACCTACACACATCTCACTTCCACTGTAAGCAGAGACGCGCTGCCTGAGGCTCAGGTAGGTTCTGCCCATTGCCCTTGTTTCCTGGGAAGCCGAAAGCCTGATGGTTCGGACCTTGGTTTCTGGAGTCAAACCGTCCCACCTTCCAGGCCTAGCTTTGCCACTCACTTGCTGCATGCCATGAAGCAAGCCATTTAATCTTCTCATGCCTCAGTTTCCTCATCTGTAAAAAGCAGACAGTAGTATCACCTACCACATAAGGTTTATGCGAGAATCAAATGAGAAAATATACACAAGGGACTTAGCACAGTGCCTCACACACAGTGATTGTTCAATAAGTGTTACTTGTTAGTATTACCTCACACATGAACGTCTACAATTCCGGACACTTTATTTTTTGTTTCAATTATTTCTGATGACTGGGGAAATTTGCATAATGAGTGAGAGTGAGAGAAAACATACATAAGGATCCTTGATTAATATGGGGAAAGAACACAGAGCACCAAAACCCAGACCATAAAGTCTCACATGGTCGTTACGGTACAGTTTCAAGTTTGACTTCCAGTTTCCTGGCAGCCAAAGCAGAAAAGAGAGCCAATCCATAAGTATTTTCCCAGGACAGTTCTGAAAGACTTTCTTCCATGAGCTTCTCACTGGAGGCACCACGTGATGTGGAGGACAGTGTTCACAGTGGCGTCCCTACAGCGAAGGCAGTGAGGGCATAACCCAGCCCGATTCCGCACAGGGCCTGGGCAGTCCAGTCTGCTGACCTTTGATGGCTCCGCTGGGTTCTACAAGAGAACCTAGAACACCCAGAGGTGATGTGAATGGACTGTTTCCATTCCATGATCCTCTGGGAAGACCACATCCCTCGGCTAGTACTGGGAGGCAGGGGTCAGGTGGGGCAGATGGAAATCCTACTTCCCAGTGTAGACCTAGGGTGGATGGGGCTTTGAGGGCCGGTTAGGATGCTAAAGTAAATTTTATTTCAGTAGCGTTGCTCTAGCAGCAGTGAATAGCCAAAACAAAACAGGGAAAGCAATTAGGAAGGATTTTAAATTCCCTAGGTAAAGGATGCAGTCCAAACCAGGCCATGTGGGTGGAGACAGAGGTCAGGAGATGGGCCTGCCTCTTGCAACCTACTTCATGGTTACAGCTCAGAAAGGTCTCCACTGGTTGCACTGAGAAAGAGCTGGCGGAGATGGTGAATGGACAGGCTCATAAAGGAGGATTCAGTCAACAAAAGGAGAGAGGCCCTGACCCTCCTGCCTCTAATCTGCTGTGTGACCCTACCCAATTGCGTGTCCTCTCACAGTGGAAGGTGCTTTTCCTGAAAGAGGAGGACAGTGCCATATATTGAGCATCCACTCCCTGCCAGCCAGAATCAGTCACTGCTCTTGTATTTTATCATTTAATTCCCCAAAAGTCTTAGAAGCTTGATGTCATCATCAAATATTTAGGAATGAGAAAACTGAGACTCAGAGGGGCAGGCTGAGTTATCAAGGACACATGAGAGGTGACAGGGCCAGAATCTAGACCAGGGTCTGATGACTTCAGTGCCTGTGATCTCATAAGCAGTCGGTGTCCCACTCACCTTATGAGGGGCTTTAAGATGTACTGAGATGGCAAAGGTTAAGAGCTTTGTACCAAGTCATACCAGTGTCCATTATCATTGATGGAAACGTTCATGACCTTAAACTTTTCTGTTGCCAGAAGAAAGCCTCAAATAAATTCTTAGGCCAATCAGTAATTGCTGATACAAAGTTGCTCTTGTCCCCTTGAAAGTCTAAAATTCCCTGAAACCATTTTCCTGAATAGAAGCACCAGAATCCTTAGCCTAACTGAATTTTCATGGACAGAAATCAGATAGAAAAGGTGACAAAGCCATGGGTAGCACCAGGGCCTCATAGCTTCCAAACTCTTTTCCCTCTGGCTTTCAATTGGCCTTTAAAAAAGAAACCCAGACAATGGAGAATAATCTAGTAACTGTCCTGCCAGCACCCAAGACAGGCAACTCCACAACGGTCCGGAGTCAAATTGTAGGAAGAAACAGGCCCAGACCACCGGCAGCATGGTCCCTTCACAGAATTCTCATTCCCAGAGGAAAACGTTCACCACCGTCAGCCTTCAAGAAGCCAGCTGCTGTCCCAACTCATGAGGTCCCCTAAACCAGCAGCACCATGGGCTGTCTTCCATGCAAAACAGGAAGACAGGGGCAGGGCTCGAATAGGCATCTTCATTATTCAACACTTATGTACTGAGCCCCAGCCCAGCAAACACCCTGAGCAGCACAGTGGTAGGAGAAGCAAGGACATCAGAATCAGGCGAGACTTGGGTTCAGATCCCATCTCTGCCATTTAGTATCTGTAACCTTCCACCCTCTCTGAACTTCAGATTCACAGCAAAAATAAAAATAAAAATAATACTGGTGGGATGGGCCTAGCCAGAGAATAGTAGGATAGCCAGGTCTGTTGCAATAGGGCAAACCAGAGGGCCACCATGCAGGCAGAGAGAGGCAAGGTTTACAATTAAACCAGCATGGGGTCATGTCTCAACTTCATTATATACAAGCTCTGACTTTTTCTTTTTTGGCATATTATGGGGGTACAGATTTTAAGGTTTCAATAAATGCCCATTTCCCCCCCTCCCCCCACAAGTCTGAGTTTCCAGCATGACCATCCCCCAGATGGTGCTCATCTCACTCATTATGTATGTATATACCCGCCCCCCTCCCCCCTCCCACCTGCCCAATACCCTATTACTGCAGTACCTATGTGTCCACTTAGGTGCTGCTCAGTTAATACCAGTTTGCTGGTGAGTATATGTGGTGCTTGTTTTTCCATTCTTGGGAAACTTCACTTAGTAGTATGGGTTCCAGCTCTAACCAGGAAAATATAAGATGTGCCATATCACCGTTGTTTCAAGCTCTGACTTTGAAATCTTTCTTAACCTCTGATCTTCCATTTCTCCTCTACAAAATGGGTTAATAATACTTGCCTTGAAAGATTATTATAGGAGTGAGAAATAATTATGCAAAGCATCTGAAATACAGCAAATGCCCCAAAAGTTGTGATTCTTACTCCTCACCAGATCCCCTGCCAGGCACTGAAGACAAACACTCAGTGATGTGCCCGACCGTCAGAGCTAACTAGTTATTTCACGTCTCTGCATTCCCATTTCCTTATCCACAATGTAGGGTAAAACTTCCTTCCCTGCCTTACTCATGGGACTTATGGTAAAAATTAATAACAACCAACACCTTCAATTATAATACCTAACACTTACTGAGTGGTTACTATGTGGCCAGGAGTGTTACCAAGCGTACGACATACATTATCTCATTTAATCTTTACAGCAGACACAATAACGACCCCCAAAGATGTCCAAACCTAGATCCCTAGAACCTGTAGATATTACCTCGCATGGGAAAAGAGACTTTGCCGATGTGATTAAGTTGAAGATGTTGGTATGGGGAGATTATGCTGCATTATCTGAGTGGGCTCAATCTAATGACACAAAACCTTACCAGTGGAGAACTTTCTCCAGCTGGAGGTAGGAGGGATAAGGCAGAAGGTGAAGTCAGCAAGATGTAAAGCGTGGGAAGGACTTGACATGTCGCTGGTTTTGAAGATGGAAGAAGAAGGCCACAATCCAATGAACGCAAGTGCCCCCCAAAAAACAACCCCTGGCCAACATTCAGACAGGAAATGGCCATTTCAGTCCCATGATCACAGGAACTGAACTCTGTCAACAACTTAAATGAGCCTGGAAGTAGATTCCTCTCTAGAGCCTCCAAAAAGCAGCACCTGATTTCAGCCTCATGCAGCCCCGAGCAGAGACCCGGCTGAGCCACGCTGTGCCTGGGCTTGTGACATGCAGAACTGTGAGACAAAACATGAGTGTTATCTTTAAGCCACTAAGTCTGTGTTATCTATTACAGCAGCAGCAGAAAATAGAAAATCCTCAGCATAGCCCTGGGAACAGAGTCATTATAATCTCCATTTTGCTGACAAAAAACCAAGACAAAGAATGGTTAAATGTATCCAAGACCTGACGACCAGTAACTGGGACAGTTATGTAAGCCAGTCTGACTCAAGGGTCTTTGTTCCTGAAAAAAGTTCCTGGTGCCTCATAGTAAGTGCTCAATAAATATTTGTGAGAGGGATGGATGGATGGATGGATGGATGGATGGATGGATGGATGGATGGAGAGAACTACTGGGTGTGAAAATGTTAAGGACATAGAAAGAATTATGACTTTTGTTACATTAAATAGATCCAAATCTGCCTTTCCCAGAATGGCCTGAGAAATAAGTGGCAACCTGAGCAAAGGGTACTGGGCCAGTACTCACACATGAATCAGATTGTGCTTTGGAGTTACTGGTTTACTGAATGAATAACCATAGGTGGATCTGAACGTATGTATTAAATCCCTACCATCTTCAACAGTGAAGCATTGAGAACAAAATCGGCAAGAGTTAATCTGTACTAAAGGAGAAAGAAGTGGTAGGTGTGGACTAGAGAACCTTGGATGTTAGATTCCCCAACCTCTTTTTCTACTATGACCTAGAGCAGATGCATTCAGACAGGAAATATTTCCTTGTGGTTAAGAGTAGAGGCTCTACAGCCTGACTGGTCTGAAGTCCAGCTCTACCATTTACGATTCGTGTGATCTTGAGCAAATTTTAAACCTCTTAGTTCATTGGTTTTCCTAATTGTCACATGGGAATAATAATAGTAACCATCCCACAGGAATTGGCGTGAGGATTAAATGATTTAACTACTTAAATGTAAGCCATTTAAATTTTCCCAGCACTTAATAAGCACCTGAGAAATATTAGCCAGCATTATACCAGCTGAAACTACCCCCCTTTGACTCCCACTCGAGAAATTATATTGGAATGCAAGTGAGAGGAAAAAAAGAATAAGAATATATCATGAGCATAGCAAGTAAGTACTTCTGCTAATGTTATCAGGAACTAAGATTTTCCATGTAGGAGAAAAGAGATACAAGTATAAATTCAATAAAGTTATGTCAAACCCTATATTGCTATATTTGGATTGGAAATAATAAGTTTGATCCTATGAATTTTTAAAAAATAGGTATTTTCTATTTTAGTGGAACTCTGCCCACTGAGAGGGCCTAGAAGCAATTACAACCCCATGGCAGTGAGCATATCTAGCATCCAAATTGTGGCTTATAAATGCTATTCCCTTCCAAAAGAAACAAGGACTTCTCCAGGAAATGGATGATGTTTAAGGTCTGGAGCAAGAAAGTTCCAGGAACTTCTTGTACCAGAAAATAGGAAAGTTATCAAAGACTACTGAGGGTGTGATAAAAGGACTCAGGGCCAAAATAATGCTGGCTGCAAAGTACTAAAGCACTCTGCATGTAAAAGCCATGTACTCATAATGATACTCAATGGGAAAAAAATAACTTCAATGTTCTCCATGTTCACCATTACTCCTAACTAAGCACCAACTCTAATAGTGAAAATCGACCATTAAGGGAAAAAAGCACTTATCCTGTTTTCTCCTGAATGAAATTTGTTTCAGGGTAATTAACATTCATAGACATTCATAGCCAATAAATGTGGAAGGATGACAGAATTAGAAACAGTACCGCTGTTAAACCCCTAATGAAATACTTGATCAAGCAAAGATTATCCATACATGAAACCTTTAGATGAAAGGTTAAAGGGAAATTTTAGAATGAAGATATCAGACTGCCACCATCTACACCTTTGATCAAATCAGCATCATGAAAAATGG